TCCATAATGTGACTTTTTTTTTGAGACAGTGTCTTGTTGCTGCCCAGGCTAGAGTGCAGCTAACTGAAGCTTCAAACTCCTGGGCTCAAGGGATCCTCCTGCCTCAGCCTCCTGAGTAGCTGGGACTACAGGATATGGCCATCACACATGGTTAATTTTTCTGGTTTTTTGTAGAGATGGGGTCTTGCTGTATTGCCCAGGCTGGTCTCAAACTCCTAGCCTCAAGTGATCCTCCCATCTCTGCCTCCCAAAGTGCTAGGATTAAAGGCATGAGCCACCACACCTAACCACCATCTAACTCTTAACCCCTCTACCATTATCAGTCATCAAATCACTAACATCCTACTACTCTCCATACACAATGATTACAAATTTCTGAACAAAACAAAACATGTCAAACATGTTCTCTCTATTCCCTATACCTTGCCTGTCTGGCAAGTACCTTCTTATTTGATGCTGTTCAAGCCTTACCTCCTCTAATTATGTCTTCCTTTCTATTTCCATCTTGAAGATGGCAGTAACTCTCTTCTTTGTGACCTCACCATACCTTGTACAGACTTCTCCATAGCACTTACCATAATTCACTGCACTTCTGTAGTTCACAAGTCCAGACACACACGCCCACATACTCTGCCCCTGGTCACTCTAGTATTTGTATATTTCAAGTCTCCTGTCTTGTAAGATTACATAATGTACTGGTAAAGAGTACAGGCTCCAGAACCAGAAAGACCTGAGAAATCTGAATCAAAGCTCTCTATATATAGTTCTGCTACTCTATACAAATTACTTAAGGTTTTAAGCCTCAGGGCCTGATATACAATAGCTACTCAACAAACGGTTGCCATTATTAATATTATTATTCTCTCTTTGGTTAAGTCTACAATTTAGACAACTTAAAATCTCAAACAGTCCCAAATTATGTATTTTTAAGTGTTTTTCTTTCCCTCTCACCAATACAACTTTCAATCAACCTCCTAAGGTATGAAAAAAAGTCACTGAGGTCAACCTGTTTTCAATCTCTTGTGCCATTTAAAGATCCTATATGAAAATGAACACAAGTTCTAATAAAGTTTTATCTATTTCTCAATGTTTATAAATATCTTATGCTAAATACTATTTTATGGTAATTTTGCAAACAGCCCATTTATCAACTTCAAAAAATGAGAAAAACTAGTGATCATCAAAAACAAAGCAAAAAAGTAGCAAAATAGAGAATTCCAATATTATCTATCAAGAACTCAATTAACTAAAACAATAAACTGTCTCAGATTGCTAATCGAAAAATCCAAAGACTATTCATTAAAACAAATACACTTAATTTCATATGATAGCTTCCAAAACTCTCATTCATGACCTATTTTCCTTCACTTGTGACCCAAATTTAGTTACCTTAGTATCTTAAACACTAGCAAGGTAGAAGGGTACAATTAGTTTCTAGAGAGAGACGAACAGCTGAGAGCAGAGAAACAAAATATAAAAAGCGTAAAGACTCTCAACAGTCTGCCAGAGCAACTTTTTTCTTAATAATATACATCAAATTGAATTATATTAAGTGACAGAAAAAGGGAATAAGCCTTATAGAAATTTTCTTTACAATTCAGTAACTGTTTCAACTCTAAAAAGAAATGGGTATTAATAGTTCAGAAAGCAAATATGTTTCTTTAAAAAGGACAGAGTAGGAAAGAAATGTTGCTAAAATTTTTCAGTTTACTGATCACTACTAAACTATTCATTACAAAATTAACATATTACAACCATTCATAAAAATGTTTATTGCAGATATGCCTGAACTCAAGAGTGTTCAGTATTAGAATTTGATTTCAGCAATGATAGAAAAATAATTCCAACATTTAAGAAAACTTTTCTTTTACTAAAAACTTTCATTTTACTGAATTACCTTTCCTGTTTAAGAGCATACTCCAACATTTTGATCCTCCTCACAAGATCCTTCTTCAAATTTTCTTGACCTTTTCTTTCCCCTTGAAGGAATGCAATCTGGGCCTGAGTAGGGAAGAGAAAGA